CCCTTCCCCTGCCCTCCCTTCACCCCCTCCACCCTTCCCTATTTGCAAAGACTTTGTTTCCATTTTTTTTTCTTTTCTCATATAAAATAAGAGCTCTTAAGAAATCAAAGATTCACTGACCTTTTGTTTCAATTCATGTGTATCACTGGAAATGAAGTCAATCACGTATGGCATCTCAATACACACAGTCAAAGAGAAGCTACCAAAAGTCAAGAGAAGGTTGTCAGTCTAATACCTTAACTTTTCTACCTAAAGTTGTTACAAAAAAAATTTTTTTTTGGCAGTGCTAAGGAACAAACCCAGGGCTTGACACATGCTTAGCAAGCACTAACGCAGTCCTTCAAATAATTTGAAATGAAAATTTAAACCACAAAACTAATATCCAGTTGGATAACAGATAGGTTTTACATTTCAAGTACTAACCTTTGCTTTGTTCCTGTTTCCTTTATACAAATCTTCTCTATGGCATCCTGTTAAGAGAAAAACGTGTATATAACCGAGTATCCACTATGCTTCACAGTGAGCTCTAAACTGAAGGCAACCTCAGCAAAGCCACAGCTGACGGCAGCACCAGAACTTCTAACACACAACTTATACCAGGATCATTCCTGACCATTCTGACAGAGATTTTCAGTTCCATCTGTCTCCCCGCACCGCCACACACACACAGAAAGAAGTCTGGAAGGGATACATGCCAAAGTAATAACCAGTACTTATCTCGGGGCAATGAAATTAAACATGGTTTTTACATTTCTTTCTTTTGGTTTATTTGCATTCTCTATATTTATCTAATTCTTTGAGATGAACCACAGCACAGATACAAAAATGTTTTGTGTGACTGAAAAGAAAAATATTATGCTCATTGAACATGTCTGTTTATTCTTCTGGTTTTATAAATACTACACGTGTCTAAATGCACAAATCAATGATTTTGACTTTCCATCAAGAAGTTTGTTCTAGACATTTCTTTCCTTTCCTTTGGTGTTGTTTTTGCAGTGGTGGGGATCAAACCCTGGGGTCTCCCACATGTTAGGCAAATGCTCTACCATTGAGTTGTGGCCATAAATGCTCCTTTACATCTCAAACACACAAACCTGAAGGTTTTCATTCAAAGCCTTGTCCTGTTGCCAGGGCGCCACAGAGGCAGGCATGAAGAAGACAGCAACTGGGCCTCGAATGCTGAGTTCCGTAATGTAGGTAATTTTGATGAGAACCTTAGCCTTTGGGGGTAAGTTTCCAACACTTACAGTAAAAACATCCTGAAATAGAAACATATATATGACTGAGCTTGCAATTCAAAAGCTTTGCCAGCTAACACCTCCTTGAATTACAACCTCCCACATTGTTCCCTAGAAAACGGTAATAGGACCTAGAAAACACATTGGTGGAATCCTAGAGCTATTCAACAGTGACAGAGGCAGAGCAGCATCTGAGGGAGGCAGAGGAGAGGTGGCCCTTGGTGGCTGAGCTGGACAGTCACTCAATGGACTCTTCCCTGTGGTCATGCAGCTGTGTGCCCTGCTGCACGGAGGCCACAAGAGCCCTCCCCACAAGGGAGGCCTTGAAACCTTCATGGATCCAGCACTGGTGCCTTCAGCAGCTGCAGAATGAGACCAACATTCCCCAAGCTTGTTCTTCATTTAATTCTCTTACCTGTAGTACATTTTAAAATTTATTTTTTAGAAAAAGAATTTATCTGTCTTTCCGTTTGTTTTTTTTTTGGTACCAGGGATCGAACTCGGGACTTTGCACTTTTGAGGCAGGTGGCGGAACCACTGAGCTAAATCCCTGGCGGAAGAGATCTTATTTTAAAATGTATCTGTCTTTGAGTGGGGTACTGATATCCATCATATAAGTGGTAACCTCATGACTGGCTAGGGTAGAAAAAAGAGAAGGTAGATACACATATTTCTTCCTGATACCTACACAGAGGCCCTCTCAAGTGCTACTTCATATAATTAGGAAAATCTAGTATATTAACATCAAGAATATAGATGTTAATGATTAGTGTAGGCTTAAGGGTTAAATTATTACTTTTTTTTTTTTTTTCGGTACCAGGGATTGAACTTGGGTCCTTGCGCTTACAAGGCAGGTGCTGGAACCACTGAGCTAAATCCCCGGCCCTAAATTATTACTTTTAATATCAAGGATATCCACTGTGTGATGAAAATAAACAATGGGAGTACAATTATTATTTTTATTTGTTATGGTACTGGGATTTGAACTCAGGGATATAACCTTAGTCTTTTTTTATTTTTACTCAGATATGGTCTCTCCAAGTTGCTCAGGCTGGCTCTGAATGTGTGATTTTTCTGCATCAGCCTTCCAAGTGGCTAGACTTATAGGTGTGTGCCACCATGGCTGGCTCTGAAGGGACAATTATTACAGTTAATAGTGGAATCCTTTAAAGAAAGTGTATTAAAGCCCAGGTTCATTTGAGAGTGTGTGGACTTGGCAGGTCCATTTCTAGGTAGAATAAAGGTAGCTGCAAGATGATGTCACTTTTGTTATAACACACTGGACAATTAATAAAGTTATGACTTGTCTTGAATCCATCAACCAAATGAACTGAATTCCAGAGTGACAACCCTCTCTGAGGACAGATGGGACATGGGAACTCTGTGAATTCCTACAGGGTGAAAGCAGGCTACCTTGTTGGCTTAGAATAACTGGGAACTTCCAACCCAAGAGGAGTTTGCATATTCTCATAAGCTTTTCTCCACACTCTTCCTTCTGCTGGGTCCACTAGAAAGAGTGGGTCAGCCAGAAGTCCAGAGAAAGCACTCGTCATAGGAGCAGTGTGTGGCAGGTGGCTGGCAGCTGCAAGGGGATAGGCATGGATACCACACTCTTCCCTGGATTCTGGGGAAGGACAGCAAATTCTTTCACTTCCCACACACTGCAGGAAGGGGAGAAGCAATGCAGGGATCAGAAACCTTTCCTACTCCAGAGACCAGGTAAAGCTCCACTGCTTCAGGACAGAAGCAAGAGCTACCTTGCCATGAGAAAAGGGAACAAACCCTCCTGGGCCCAAGACCCTGCACCAGAACACTGGAAGAAAGGCAGGAAACTGTTCCTTTAACATCTTGCAACAGACACAGGCAGAATTTGGCTGCTGCTGAGGTAGGGGAATAGGCAGGGTATGGAACCACACAACTGCTAGACTGGGAATGATCAAAATTCAAAATGTGAAATACAGTTCCTAGTGAACTTAAGATTGCTTTTGTACCACTGTGAAGTCAAACAATTCTAAGCTCAGGGCCTGTGTATATTTGTGTATGGGTATTTATGTGGGTCTGTAAAATCTTTTTTACTCTTGGGAATACTATATGTGTAATATATATGAATACATGCCATCTATTTTATATGTTCCCAACTATAAATATACCATATAAACATAATATAAAGTAATGTATTAAAATATATCTACATAATAGTAGAATAATATGATGCATTAACACTGAGGCATATAATGAAGACACTATAGTCACAAAATGGCAAAACATATTCTGAGAGACCCAATGACAGTTTTCTAATGGTTCTGAGAAGACTTTACCCGTAGGCAGTAAATCACCTTCAGGGAGACCACCTTCCTGTGAAAAGGAGGAACCATGTTGACCGTGTATTTAGGATGATAACCCCACACTGTTCCGTGGCAGTCTCTCTAATGAACCCCAGGCTTTTATACATCCCCTCTGACCAGGGACTAGCATTATTAACTGTTTAATAATCACCTCTTTATTGATTATTCTATATTGCAAATGCGTATCTTAAAATGTCAAAAGTTACTTAACCCTTACAACTATATTCATCTTTAGTATGACCTCCACCAAACACTGCATTTTCACAATCCTAAAGCAACATGTCCTGCTCAGTGGTGACATCGGAAGCATATGGCTCCATCTGCAAAAACAACCAAAACAACTGGAGATGTGGTTTAGACACTGTATCTAGCATCGGCCAGAGTCACACTTAAACATTTCATATTAAGAAAAGAAATCCAAGCTGGGTATGGCACCACACACCTGTAATCCCAGCACTTGGGAGGCTGAGGCAGGAGGATCACTGTGAGTTTCAGGCCAGCCTAAGCTACACAGTGAGTTCAAAGCCAGCCTAGACTACATAACCAGACCGTGTCTCAAAAAATAAAACTAAAATGTAAAATAAAATAAAAAATAAATAAAAGAAATCCAATAGATGTGACAGTTTCTCCTTCAGATTGGCCACATTAAAAAAAAAAGATTGGGCACATTATATCTCTGTTAAAGTCAATGATCAGAAAGCAAAGAAGCTGGGCCTTTCTCAGGACCCTGCCTCCCTGCGTTATGAACTGGTGAAAACTGGGTAAGTTAATAGTGAGCTTAGTTCTAGGGAAAATATAAATATGCTACATTTAAAAAAAAATTTTATTGGTACATTTTAGGTATACAATATAATGACATTCATATGCTACATTCTTTTACCAGAATAGAAAAATCATGTACCTTAAATGTATTCTTTTTGCTATGAATTCTAGAAAACTCAATTCTCAACGACAGAGGAATTTCTCCTGTTTTCTGGGTAACACCAATACCATCCCCTCCTTTCTTCAGACAGGGAGAAGGGGTCTGACTAGCTTAGCATCCCTTATTTACAAGGGATCCTGCAAGCCCAGCATTTTGTAAATCATCCCGGTGTCTACTATTAGTTTCATATCAACCGTTCTCCATGAGTGCATACCGGTGCAGCCTGATCCATCAGATATGCGCCATGGCCTTGGCTGACAGCTGCTCGGTACTCTCGCTGGGCTTCTTCCTTCTCCTTAATCTGGAAAACATTTTTAAAACCACCCATTATAATGAGAGTGACTTTACAACAGGGAACTGATAGGCAAGACCTTGAAGCAACTGTAATATAGAAAGATGTGGTTCTACAATAAAGACGACAGGAAAATATAAGCTGAGGGCAGCTGAAAAAAACTGGTGGGAACCAGGCTGGTGGCACATGGTTGTGACGGCAGCACTCTGACATTCTGAGGCAAGGGGATCACAAGTGCAAGCCTAGCCTGGGAAACTTGGTGATGTAGTGAGACTCTGTCTCAAAACTAAAAACAGAAACGGACTGGGGATTAAGCTCAGTGTAAAAGCCATGGACTCAATCCCCTATACCACACACACACACACACACACACACACACACACACACACACACAAAGAAAGAAAGGAAAAGAAAAGAAAAGAAAAAGGAAAGAAGGCAAAGAACCTGACAGCTGACTGTTCACGTCACTGTAATGTATCTCTCTACCTAACACAGGCATTGGCGTGATTTGAATCTATGCAAAACTAGCACCCATGCATTAACAAATTCCACTTATACCAGTCTACTTTTTGGGGAAAAAATCATCAATAATTGATTATACCCTTTTTGAGGCCCCATGAAATTGAAATGTATCTCTGTTCTGTCTATGATGTGCCCTGCTATGCTGCTTTTCTGTAACAAAACTTTTGCTGCGGATCTACTGATTTCTATACATGAGACAAAAGACCCACTGATCCCACTACAATTTCAGGCTTTAATAAATTTGAACTAGAGAAGGACAAATAAGTAGAATTCTCTTTAAATCAGGATTAAAATATTTTAGTCATCTAGGCCTAGTAGTGCACACCTATAATCCTAGCTAGCACTTTAGGAGGCTGAAACAGGAAGATTGCAAGTTGGAGCCCAGGCAACTTAATGACTTAGTGAGATCCTGTCTCAAAAAAATAAAAAGAAGGGCCAGGAATTTAGCTCAGTGGCACCACACCTGCCCTCCAAGCCCAAGGTCCTGAGTTCAATCCCTAGTACCAGAAAGAAAGAAATAAATAATAAATAAAAAGGGCTGGGGATGTATAAAAGTACAAAGCCCCACCACACACACCAGAATCAGCAGTTGAAAAAAAATAGAACTTTATATTGAATAGTAAGTTTATTATAAATTATAGGTTATAATTGTTGACCATGGGCTAGCCCTTAACAGTTGACAAAGAATGAACCAGCTCTCATTCTTTTCCTTCCCTCCTCCCTTCTACCCTTCCTCACTCTTTTCCCTTTCTCTCTATTCTCTCCTTTTCTCTTTCTCTTTCTGACTTTCTTTCCAGCGCTGGGAATCGAATCTAGGACCTCAAACATTCTACCAGTGAACTACATCCTCAGTTCCACTAGTTCTTTTGGTAAAACTTTTCTTGGAAAAAGTTACAATAATAGCCTGCACTTCAGCTTGACTTTTTTAGCAAGGCACAGAGGATTCATTTTTGCAAAAATTTATCAGGGCTTCATCAATTTTCAACTTTGCTTCTCTTAAACTTTTTTTTTTTTGGTACTGGGTATCCAACTCAGGTCCTTGAGCTTGCGCAGCATGCTGTGAAACCACTGAGCTAAATCCCCCGCTCTCTTAAAGTTTCGATATCGAAATTACTTTTTAAAATAATTGCCTAAGGAAAGATTTTTCAAGATAATGAAGATGAAGACTGGACAGGTAAGTCGTGCGGAATCAGCCCGCTGCACACAGGCAGGTCTGCGGATGCTGTAGCAACGTCGGGATGTGCTGAATCAGCCCACGCCTTGGCAGCAATCCACTGGACACACACACAACCCCCACACCTCACACCCCCCACCCAGCTCCTCTGTACAGCCACCTGGTTCCACACTACAAAGACGCAGAGGACACTGGACCACCAGACCACAGTACTGGGTAAGCTGGAGTCATCTTCACCTCCCATCAGGACAGGGACTATCTTCAGGGGAAGGGCAGCTGGAACCTGCAATACAACTCTGCAGAGTTCAACCCTACAGGAGGACAGGGAGCTCAACTTGGGACCTACAGCCAGAAATCTGCCTGAATCTC